GGACCGGTACCGGTCCACGGACCGGGGGTTGGGGACCACTGCTTTAAACCATTCAGACTATGAACACAAAAGAGACACAATCAAAACTGTCAGATGACTTATTACCCCGCGATAATAACTCAGAAATAGACCAAATAGTTTGGATGTATTTTTTATTTCTTTCCTACTCATGCAAAGTTTCTATTTATATCATAGGTTTGTTGTGCCTTTCTATAAATATATAGAAATTTCAGATATAAATTTCACAACGAGAGATTGACATTCATGGAAAACCCTTACATAACCTTGTATTAAAGCAGAAAGTGTGGCGGCCACCATAAGAAAGGCTTATGATATTCAATTATGCCGCATAACTGATCAGTAGATTATTGCGAGGGGACGAAAAGAAAAATAAATCCCCATGTCCCCTGGAGGGCTCCATATTATCACAATAAATCATAAAATACAGAATAAAAATTTAAATTCAATATCACTCTTATTTTTGAGTGGATTTTTTTAAAAATAAATGTGTTTCTTGTCTTTTTGCCCCTAGATGTCAGTATTGCCACAAGCAGAAGTCTGGACGATAGGTCAGCCGTTTTTTTTTTGTTTTTTTTTACCAAAATTGGTCTGGAGTAAAAACAAAACCCCAATTCAACTTCTTTTAGGAAAGAAAATATCCAAGATACTAATTTATTTAAAAATATTGTTTGCAAAATATTTTTATTCTGAGAGTAATTTGATTTGTATTTTGTATTTTTGAGCAAAGGAAAACATCAGAATTTCTCATATGTTGCAACTAAATTAAAATTAAAATTCTTTTTAACTGTTACAGCACTAACAACTATCATTGTTGGAGAAATTCTGCACAGATATTTTAAACAAACAAGCACAACTATTTAATCCACATTTTCATATTGTTTTTATGAAAGGAAGATGAAAAGTCGCTACCATATGGATGTCTAAATGATAATTTAGGTTGATCAAATGGCCTAAGTAAGGCTTAAAGTGTAGTTAACTGATTTGGGTCAACATTTTTATGTATCATCAGTATAAAAGTCGAAGTGTATATGATTATAGATATTTCCAATCTGGGCTCAGGCAGACAGGAAGCCAACTAAAAAAATGTATTAAATATATGCCATTATTGTTTTAGCTTTGTTTTTCTCTGGTTGTTGGATCTTAACAATATTTTTTTTGACTGAATTTGATACTTTATCCTGCATGTTTACGGTTTTGCTTTTACAAAAACACATGCTGCTGCAGAGCAGAGGTTAAGTCCTTCTAAATTAACTCCTGTGCAAAACAAAAACAAAAAAGGAGCAGGAGTCCAACTTTGAGAACAATAGTGGTTGGGACTAGTCAGGATTAGCCTTAATCTGGAGAATATTTGTGGTTGTTGCTTTTTAGGACACTGAGACCCTCTTCACTCTGACACCTTGGAGTTTGAGGTGTAATCTGCTTGTTGGGGGATTAATACAAAAATAAAAACAATCCCTACATGGATATGATTTCATGATCCTGGAGATCATGGACGGAATTACTGACTTAATTACCAGGATGATCTGATGAGCAGATGTCTCAAAGCAGTCATTTCACAGCTACTCTGTCTTTGTGATCCACATAGTAAACAAAAATACCACCCTTCTTCCTGGAGCTCAGATTAGAAAACTAGCCTGCACACATGTGGGATGAAGCTCTGCAGCCATCTGATGGCAGCATTGCTTCAGATTATGGCTGCATCCTCTGAAACCTCTGACGCAGTTGCTGAACAGTGAGTGAGATGGCTGTTTTTCATTCAGAGAGATCATTTTGTACTGATACAGCAAAGTGCAAGCATAAGCATAAGAGAATAAAAAGTGGATAATATCCTGAACCAGTGCTTCAACCAAATTTTCAGATTAGAGCAGGGATGCTGAAGGACTGAAATAGGAAACACAATGTTCCGGTTGGTTAGGGATACCCACAGGTTTAAAAATAGGCCACAACAGTCCTTATATAACAACTGGGACGTCAGGGTTGTTTACAGTCCCACGGCCTTTACAAATGAATGAGTACAATCAATACGCATCATTTCTGTTGCACATTTCAAATCCTCATTAATCCAAATGATCCCAACACACTTCAAAACAACATTTAATACTCAGGAATGTGTTTTTAACAACTGATCTGCGAGATTAGCAGGTGACTCACAAATGTGTCAAAACAAGCCTCTGGAATGTGTTTTTCTGTTTTGCACCTCGCTTTCTTTTTGCCGTGGGATTTACCGGAGTTATTTACACCGGCGTGTGATGCTTCGGTTTCTGTTTCTGCGTGAGAGTGAAGCGTTGGGAAAGCGGGGGCAGGCTGGGGGGGATTGTCTGTTTTGAATGGTTGAATCAGCCAATAAGCGGCGAGGCTTCCGGTGATGGACATGCGCAGATTGTAGACTTTGTAGAGTAGAAGCCGCACGAGCAACCCCAGTTACCCGCTATTGTCGATGCCATGTTGTGATTGGCGTTTCTAGCAGTTTCAAATTAGAGAATGAACGAATGAATAAATTAATAAATGACTAAGTAAGTAAATAATTAACAATGAACAAATTAAATAATTAATAAGGAAATAAATAAAAAAAACAATTAATTAATTCATTAAAAGGAAGTAAATTAATAAATAAAAAGAATGTCATGGACACTACGTTCCATTTGACTAGCTCCTTAGGCCTCAAATTTCTCCTAGCTAGAAGTGTCGACTTCTCAACAACAACAACAATAATAATAATGATAATAATAAGGGTGGTGGATTGATATATTTTCAAACCATTAACCTTAAGTAAATTTTAAGCATTTTATTCTGTCATGTTTTTTATAATGGTTGATAACATTTTTATTAGGACGACTTTTACAAGGAAATTGCTGTTTCCTGGGAGAACTTGCCTCTCACAATATGGTGGACGCGCTGACGTGTCTTTCCTACGGTACAAGGACTGCAAAGCGGCTTCTTCTTATCTTTTTCTATGTTGCTGCTCCTGCAGGACGCCCCGCCCCCTATGACTCTGTGTTTTATTCTGTTTTTAGAGCAGCAGCGTCACATGTTGTTTTTCTCCAGCATCAGAGCAGTCACTGGTCTACGCGCACTGCTCTGTTGTTTTTACCGCAGCGGGTTTTCTTGTCCGCTGTGGAATATAGTAAACGGGTAACCTTTTGCGGTCTTTTCTTTTTACTGTGAGAGTTTTTTACTCTTTTTCCGAAGAAATGGCAAGTCCTCCGGCGACGGAAGGACACCTGTTATCTAATGGGACGAATGACGTGAAGAAGTGCGGCTACCTGAGGAAGCAGAAACACGGACACAGGCGTTTTTTCGTGCTCCGGGAGCCCACGGAGCGCTGTCCCGCACGGCTGGAGTATTATGAAAGCGAGAAGAAATGGAGAAATAAGTCCGCAGCCAAACGCGTCATAACTTTGGACTCCTGTCTGTGCGTAAACAAACGCGCCGATGCCAAACACAAGCACCTCATCGCCCTCTACACCAAGGACGAATACTTTGCTGTGGCTGCAGAAAACGAGCAGGAGCAGGAGAGCTGGTACACCGTTCTGTCTGATTTAATAGCAGAGAGCAAAGTGTTTGACAGCCCTGCTTCCACATCCTCTTTAGTGGGGTTTGAGGAAACCACTTACGGACAGCTTACCCCTGCAACAGCTACCTACAAGGAGGTGTGGCAGGTCAACTTGAAATCCAAAGGCTTGGGTCAGATCAGAAACCTCACCGGAGTCTACAGGCTGTGTTTATCCAACCGAAACATCAGCTTCGTAAAGCTGAACTCTGAGACACCAGCTGTCAACCTCCAACTCATGAACATCAGGAGATGTGGCCACTCCGACAGCTTCTTCTTCATAGAGGTGGGCAGATCAGCAGTAACCGGGCCAGGGGAGTTCTGGATGCAGGCAGAGGATTCAGTGGTAGCGCAGAACATCCATGAAACCATACTGGAGGCAATGAAGGCGATGAAGGAGCTCTCTGAATTCAGGCCGAGGAGCAAAAGCCAGTCAGCCAGCACCAACCCCATCTCTGTGCCCACCCGGCGCAACCTCAACAACCTCCCCCCAAGTCAGACCGGCCTGGTGAGGAGATCCAGAACCGACAGCGTGGCTGCCACATCCCCAGGGAGGAAGTTCACCTCCTGTCGGATAAGGACGGCCAGTGAGGGAGATGGAAGCGTAACCCGACCAGTGTCCATGTCCATACCAGTAGGTGAGAGTCCCACCAGTCCCAATTCTGGAAATCATCTCATGAGGTCCCACACCCTTAGCAACGGGCGCACCTGCAGGATACTGGAGTCTGCATCCAATCTCCATCACAGTCGTTCAATGCCAATGTCCAACTCTCCTCCTGCTGCCTCCAGCCCCATCAGCTCATCTCCCAGGGGAGGAACAAGGGTCTCCACTCCAGACAAAGCCAGACGTCCTTTCAGCTGCAGCGCCTCCATATCTGGCTCCCTCAGCGACACTGGCTTCCTTCTCTGTGATGATTTCAGCTCCAGCCCAGGTGAACACAAGTTTCTCACTCTGACTCGCAGTGACACTCCTGACTCCCTGTCCAGCACACCTCCATCTCGTGACCTGAGCGACCCCTGTGGCTACATGCTAATGGAGGGGGCTAACGGCAGCAGGTCCAGCTGTGGGATCGAGGGTCAGAATTGTGACAAGGCATACAGGAAGCGAACACACTCCCTCACCACACCACGCCAACAGAAGGTGGTGACTCCATTGTCCTCTGCTTCCTTGGATGAGTACACTCTAATGAGGATGGCCCACGGGCAAAACTCCCACTCTGCTTCACCCAAAGTATGCTATCCTGAGGATTATGGGGACATAGAAATTGGTTCATCCAGGAGCTCCAGTAGCAACCTTGGCGATGATGGCTACATGCCCATGACGCCAGGCGTAGCACCTCAGTCTGGCAAGACGGATAACTATGTACCCATGAGCCCCATGTGTGTCTCAGCACCAAAGCAGATTGTCAACCCCAGGGTGCATCCCCAGGCAGCTACCAATGGCTACAAGGCCAACTCTCCCTGTAGCAGCTCTCTGGAAGACAGTGGATACATGAGAATGTGGTGCGGCTCCAAATCCTCCATGGACAGCCCTGACAGACAGGGCGAATACATGAACATGTCACCTGGAAACCCACCCTCTCTGCAGACCCCTCCTGATTACTACTTAAGCCCTCTCACTGGGGAACCAGTGTCAATTAAGCCGGCTTACCAGACGGGCTCCCTTACACTGCCTGCAAAACTTCAGTCATCCAAGAATGAAGACAGTGGCCAGTACGTGTTGATGAGCCCACAGAGTTCAAGGCAGAAGACTGGGGAGTCAGACTATTATTCAGTTATGCAGCCGTGTGCAGTTCAAACATCACCGCTGAGCCCCTCAGTCCCCTCCCCAGTCAGGCATCATCGAGCAGAGAATCATCTGTCCTACAGAGGGAGGGTGGGGAGACCTAACAGGCTGTCTCTGGACACCCTGAGGACCCTGCCCAGCATGAATGAGCATCCCCTGCCCTTAGAGCCCCGCAGCCCCGGCGAGTACATCAACATTGACTTCAGCAGCAACAGATCGTCCCCACCGTCCACCGTATCCACAGAGAGCCAGTCTTCATCTCTGGGGTCCAGCGGCGGGGGCCCAGGGCGGTCATCTCTGTCAGACTACATGAACCTGGAGCTGGGCTCGCACTCGCCCAAGGGGGCTGACACTCCGGCTGAGCGACTGGATACCCTGCCTGAGCTGTCCTCATGCCCCTGCTCAGAGGACGATGTTGTGTACCATGTAGAGTGTGAGAAAAGCCCCCGAAGCTTTGTCGATGAGGTGAAAAATGACTATACTGAGATGACATTCGCGATGACTAGCTCACCCCCACAGCTTGTTCCTCAGAACTTAAGGTATGTGATGAAATGTGGAGCTTTTCCAGCATTATTTATGGTCATATTACATCATGGCGTACTGGATATAAAGTCATGCAATGATTATGTGAAAGTTATTTCAGTCCAGACTTGAACCTCTTAAATGCTCAGTTTTCTGGGGAAGAAAATTAAATCAGCCGTTTAGGAAAATAAAATATGGTTTAAATTGGATAAAGCGTATAGTAAAGGCTTCAAGTTTATGTTCTGAATACATAAGGAAGTTATTAAAATGTTTGTGTATGTTCATGCTATTTTGAACACTGTGTTCCAGCAGCCAGAGCTGCAGGGAGAGGAGGCTATCTCTTGAGGACCAAGGTGTTCCTGAACGGATTGGGGTCTTCCTGCTTGGAGCAGCAACTTCCCCAACCGTGGACCCAGACCGCTCTGCCAAGGTCATCCGGGCCAATCCACAAGGGCGAAGGCGCCACAGCTCAGAAACCTTCTCCTCCACGGCCACAGTGACGCCGGTCTTTCCCTCATTTGCACGCGGCGACGCCGTGAAGAGGCCGAGCTCGGTGGAGAACATCTCGTCCCGCAGCAGTGAGGGTTCCGACGAGGAGTATGGCAGTCCCGTGACCCGCCACAGCTCAACCGGCTACTCTAACGGACTGAACTACATCGCCTTGAACCTACTAGAAAACAGGGATGTGGAGAAATGTGGAGACCTGGTCGGCTTTAAACCCACCAGCAGCTGCAAAGGGGGCATCAATGGATTACACAACACACCTTACGTCTGTTTGGGGTTCAAGGAGACTGCAACCACTGCCAAAGGTGAGTCTTTGCCCTTTTGATATTTCTTTGTTCTAGTAACAGTTGGGTACAATTGGAGACACCTGTGAGGGTCGATTCATGCCGATCTTGGTAACATTTAAACTGATGATTAGGATGAGTTGTTTGGGTTTAATTTAATCTAGTTTTCCACAAGAGTCAACTGGTGCAAAGTGAGATCAGTTTAATTAGGGACTGTTTAGAGAGTATAGTATGTGTAGAGAATGAATTGACTCGAGGCTTTCATTTATACCAATGGAAGTGTTTTTATTACTAACAAATGCTACACTAAACAGCTACTACAACTGGTTCTCACATAGTGAAGTGAAAAAAGGCTGAAGGCATTTCCTCTGACTTCAAAGTAGCTCTGTGGATTTCAAAGCACACAAGTAGGAGGAAACTCCAGCAGCAGCTTCTCATTGGCTCCAAACTCTTAACACCGGTTGTGCTTGCTTCCAAAATTTGCCTGTAAAAAAAAAAGTGAACACGATGTTGTTGGAACGTCACAAAGCGAAAGGGCCGTTTTTAGTCCTTCTTTAGATTCTTCCTGCTGCTTCTGTGAGCTCCGGAACTGTGTGTTCCCGTCTTTTCCCTGGTGCGTGTGAACGCAACGCAAGCCTGTGGTGAAACGTGACCAGGCTGAGAGCTTGGAAGTAAACAAGCAGCATAACAGAGCAGCACTGCTGCTGCAGATGTCAGGAATATGCAAGCCGACTGCACAACTCTTCATGTTTATTAGGGATTAATTGCAAAACTTTTGGCTATTAATTGGTGAGAAGAATTGCAGATTCTTGACATGTCATTTCCGGCTGTTGTTTTTCCACTTGGACAGGCATTAGGATGTGTTGACCTCCACAAACGCCCCCTCTCGCACCATTCCCACTGTCCTGCGATCAATACTCCGTCCCAGAATATCCCTGTGAGCCAATCAGAGCTGCTGGCAGGCGGTGGTAAACAGGTCTGACCCCTGCATCCCAGGGGACCTTGCGAGTGCCTGTGAGCACGTACGGGGTCGAGTTTGGGGGAGGGGGATCGGTGTGTTGAACCCCAACATGAGAGTGCTTGGTCACTATATCACTGAAGGTCATGGTTTGCTTTTCCTGAGAAGTTTCAATGAAAGAGGTCCCTTTTTTTCTTTTTAGAATAGTGTCTTTTATTTCTCCACAAAATGAATTTTGCTTTGTTTTTAGCACATGCTGGAGAAAAATATTGCTTTAGTTCTTCATATTTGCGCAGTCAGTGACGTTGGTAAACATGGTGGAATGCAGAAAACTCTGGTTATAAGACGCAAACTGAGCTTGAAATCCTTCACTTCTACTCTCTCAAGGTTTAGGAGTTGTTGTTTTTCCCAACAGTATAACAGTAGCAGCACCGCCCCTCCCCCACTTGTTGTTGCTCACTGCCACTTAACCCTACCAACAAAATATTCTGCATAAGCACTGCAAATTACAGTGTTTTTATTGCACGTTATTGCAAAAATATCATAAAAACTTTAAGAATTGACAATAATGTCAAATGTATCGAAGCTAGACACAGAATGCATGTGTCATAAAATGATGATTACAAGATGATTTGTAAACACATACATATATATATATGTATGTATGTTTGGAAAAGCGTAACGTGTCAGTTATGATTCAGAAAAACAAGGAGTCAAAGCAGCTTTTGGTAAAATGGTTGGCATGTCTCGCAGCTCATGTTTCCTTGAGGGTGAAAATATTTTTACTGCACTCATAAAGCTTGTCCCTGACGAGTGAGAGGGAGGAAGAAAAGAAAGTACATACATGAGGAGTGTTGCACGTACGCATGCAGAGCGACTCCGTCTCCCTCAGACCTATGGCAGGCTGTTGTTTTTCCAGCGGTTTGCTGCTTGTGGGAGAGGAAGCCAGTGAATGCGTGCATAATGGGCAGGATGGCACGTGCACTCTGCTGCCCTTCTGCCTCATTAGACTGTTACCAGAAGTAAGACAGGCGTAGAGTCGGGGCAGGGGGGATGGAGGATGGTTTTGGATACAGAGCAGTTGGAGGAGGGGTGTTTGTTAAGGCTCTGCTTTGAAGAAACTTGTTCTGCTCCGGCCCGATTTAAGCCTCTGATGACAAGTTGATTGCTTGTCTAGTGGGTTCTCCGTTCTGTTGCTACTGGGACTTTTGGCGCGGAGACGGTTTGATGCATCCGGACGTCCCGCTGGGCGTTCTGACCCAAAGCCCTGCAGCTTTTTGTTCCAACTAAACTCCTTTGCGGATGAAAAATCCAGTTTGGTTGGGTGAATTACCGGGCCTAGGACCCCAAACGAATTAGTCGTAACCGAGCGCAGATGGCCACCACTTTGTCCAGTGGTGAGTTTTTACACATGAACATAAAAACTCCCATCTATTATGTCGACTCAAGATGGCTGGCATTGGGGTCAGCAAGGGTTTGTTTGTGCCACTCGACCCATGTGACCTTATCGCGGTGTTTACTTCTGCTCTTCAATTGACGGCCGTGGCTAGCCGCGGCTCAGCCAGGTGGATGTTCTGTACCAGACCCAGATTAGCAAAGTCAGCCGTCTCTGTTTCCATCTCCACGTCCAAGATAATCTCAATCAGCTGCGGATCATAGCTGCTGGAGTTTGATATGTTAATATTTAGAACTTCGCCCCAGATGACGGATGTGATTTTAAAAAAGCGGTAAGATGGCGAGAGTGGCAGATGACCACTTTCCAGAGCATTGAGGTTGAAATAAAAGGGCAGAAGGGGTTAAACGGCTGCCACCCCAATCAATTTCCATTCCTCATGCACATATCGACACCGCTGCATTGACAGCCCGCCATCTGCCGCTGCCACGGGTCGCAGAGAGCGCCCCGTCAACATGGACGGAGTGTGCGTTAGGAGTTTGCAAACCAGATTAGAGACATCCACATCCATCTCTCAAATCCCGCTCACCCACCCCCAACCTCGACGTCATCCACTCGGTTGTAGCGTGAATGATGTCATCGCTGAGAGGATGCTGCACAGAGCATCTTCCACGTATTTGTGAGCTCCAGTACACGCATCGCAGAGTGTGATCCAGAAATGTGGAAATATAAAGATGACGGCATGTTAAGAAAAATGACATTTTCTGGAAAAAATTCAGAAATTTAGAGATTAATCTAGGAGATGTTCAGGGGGAAAAAACAAGGAAATTTCAGATTTTAAATAGTCCAAAATACTAGGAAAATACTCCGAAATTGTGAGATTAATCTAGAAAAACAATAACATTTCTCATTTTAAAAAGTAAAAATGAAATTTTAGAAAATTTCAGATTAATTTCTGAAAACTTCTGGGAAAAAATGAGGATATTTCTTATTTTAAAAAGTCAAAGAATGTTTTTAAAAAAAACAAGTACTTTTTTAGATTAATCTCAGGAATTTTCTAGAAAAAATTTCTAGAAAAAAACAATGCTTTTCTGGTTTTGAAAAGTAAATAAGAATTTTAGAAAAAACTCATATTTTGAGATTAATCTTACAAAATAAATAAATAAAAAAACAAGCAAATTTGTGATTTTAAAAAGTGAAAGAAATTTCTGGAAAAAAGAAGGAATTTTCAAGATTAATTTCAGAAATCTGGAATAAAAAAACAAGGAAATGTCCTAGTTTAAAAAGTAAAAATCTAGAAAAATTCAAAATTCTTTAGATTAATTTCAGATTTTTTTGGGATAAAACAAGGAGTTTGAAAAGTTAACAAAAATTTCTAGAAAAATACAAATTTTCAGATTATTCTTATTCATTTTCAAGAAACAAAAAAAAATTCAAAAATGAAAAATTCTCAAGTTTTTTTTTCTAGCAAATTTGCAACTTCTCAAACTAGGAAATTATTATTTCCTAGTCTAGTTCCTTTATTATTCATGGAAATTTACACTCCTTTTTTCTATTAACATAGAAATAGCCCAAGCACATTTCTTTGCACCTTTATTTATCTCCTGATTTATTTCGTCTGTGAGTGATGACTTTCTAGCTTCCCTTCATTTCCTGTTCCTGTATATTTCCCCGCTCTGGCCAATCAGCTTTCAGCTTGAGAAACCTGTTCCACAGTTGAGGAGACATTCTGTACTAAACCTGCAGCATAATAATAAATTCTTTAACCCCATTAGATTCATTAACTCAAACAGGAAGTGGCTCAGTACACTGTGTACTGTGGGTGAAATAAGGCCCTGCCAATTATATAGTAACATCTTGTTTCTTTTTTTTCTATTTAATTTTTTTAACATATTTATATCCTAAAATGTAAAAAATTGAAAAATAAAACAAAAAATTAGGGAATAAATTAACTCAGAAATTTAAATTTTTTAAATTTTGTATCTGCAAAGTTGTTTAATTTTTGTATTCCACCTTTAAGCCTCTCTTCTTTTTTTTCTTTTTTATATTTTTCACAAATAGATTTATGCTTTTTTTTCTTGTTTCAGACCTAAAATCATTACTTTAGTTGAAGGGAGTTAAATACAATCATTAATTTGATTCAATTTTATCCAATTTTGTTAGTTTTTATAATATCAAAATGCATCAAATGTCATCTTGAGAGTACAGTGAAATAAATTTCTAGGTTAAATGTGTGTATTTTGTCGTGAACTTTCCCCATCACTTGGCTTTTGTTATGCTTTGTATCGACGTAAAAATGAATCAATACAAACAAACCACCTGCTAAACAGTTTATTTACTTCCATGGTGCTGTTGGCATGACGACAGGCGGCTCGTGGAGCCACCAGTGGAAATCCAGAAATGCCATGTTACATGATCTATGGAGAACAAACATACGCACGTAGCGCCAAAGGATCTGGTGTCAGAGTTTCCAGGCGGCGCGCGCGCGTGTGTGTCTGTGTGTGTGTTTATGTGTGTGTGGTGGAGAGGTGAGAGGAGGGAGGTGGGCGCTAAACTAGGCCGGGATGTTCCAGACAGAAGCGCTAACTGCGTGGCCAGCGTTCCCCACATTTAGCCGGCCGCGGCTCCAGAGTAGATTACAGCCTCTGCAGGCGGGATTAGATGGTTGGGGGATGGGGGGATTGATCAGCGAGAGCCGCCACCGGTCAGCAGCTGGGGAATACGCAACGCAAGGTGTGAGCATGTGCTCACTGAGTTTCATCATCAAACACACACGCTGCCTCAGAAATGCAAGATTTTACTTAATATTAGGTCAACAAAATGAAACACAGTAATAAATCAATTAATTGCTAAATAAGTTTATAATTTTTCTGTTTTTTCTCTCTTTTTACCAAAAACTGGATGATAAAAATCCTGTCTGGTGATTTGATCATTTTTGAAGGAGATGTCATAAATTATTTTATTTGTTGCTTCTGTTTTATTTATTTTGCATATTTAAAATGTCTTCCACTTAAAGTGTTAAATGTTTATTAGAATTTAAAGTCTATTAATCTTTGAAGATCATATTGCTTGAAAATGATCTCTAAGCTACAATATTATTGTTTATCGCGATAAGTTCTGGGACAATTTATCGGGACAGACCTAAAAAGAAATAATAAATAACTGTGTTTCATTATATTTAGCTTAAAAAATATCTACAGTATGATTTAGATACATGTATGTAATGAAAATATAGAACAAGCACCTGGTGAATATTGTTTTTATTTTCATGTTTCGGTGTCTAGGCCAGGTTTGTTTGTGTTTTGTTTTTGTTGTTTTTTTGTTTTTTTTTGTAAAAACTGTTGAACTTGCCATTCTTTTAAACGAGGAAAAAGTGGTCAGCAACATGTGGGGGAGGGGCAGCACCTAATTTTTCTATGCTCCATGCAGCAGACTAAGGCGATAAATTTGAAATATCATAAAGGCGATTTTCAAAATGATTTGCTTCCCTTTGCTATTGTAGGAACGGTTCATTATGTTGAAGCAACAATAAATGGTATTGTGTTTTTTCAGCCTGCTGATTGCCAATGTGCAGCATCTCTTCTGTTCCACACGACTTTATTTTCACTCTCCTCTCCAACCCTTCCTCCGTCCGCTCAGCCTCCTCTCACACGTGACCAAACCCCGCATGAACATCTGCTAAACGCAGAGTTTGTGTCTGAACACTTCATATCACAGATGCTGCTGCTTGTTGCCTGGCCTCCTGCTCAGTATCCATGGCAACAAGGGCAGCAGAGCGACACGAGACCCCCTCTCCCCACCCCCCATCGCTCTACATCCCAGGTTATGTAATTATACGAGTGTTGCAGAGCAGCAGCCTTCTTCTCCAACACACACAGATATGTAAAGAGGAAACAGCTGGTGCATTAGCTTTAGATGAAAAAAAAAAAAAAAAAACTCTTTCCCCTCTTATAAATGCACATTTAAAACACTTCCTGTCGGGAGGGATAAATGACAGATCCACAAATGCAATAAAAAAAGGCGTCCAGAACTTCCTGTTCCCGATATTTAACAGAAACATGGTGTTTTTTTTTGTGGCATGAAAAACAATCTGACTCTGTGAATGGGTTCACGCTGTACAGTACGAGAGCAACACTGTGTTCCCTCCACGCTCCTTCGTCTGCCGTCTCAGAGGTCCGCTTAATTGGCGCCAGTGTTGTTTATGAGAGCAAACTGGGTTGAGATGGGGAAAAAAACAAGAGTTAGATGTTCTCACGTTGTAATGATTATTCCATCTATAACATTTATTTATAGTTGGTTTGTTTTTGATGCAAATAATTGAGCCAAAATATGCTTTAAATTTAATGAATAAAGAATATTTTATGATGTATATAGTTTATGGATGAACCGATCCAGGTGATAGTAAAACCTCACAACTTGGATTATCTAGAATAAAATTTAATTTAAATCCTGCCCTATTTACACTTACTACCTATATAAGCAGCAACAGGTGGGGGGAGGGCCACTGTACGTTTAGAAATTTCTTTTTAAAACCTTGTCATACCTGGATGCAGACACTAGTATTGTTTAAGTTTCTGTTTATATTTCCTGAATTGTTGATTTTGTTGAAAGTTTTCATTAAATTCCTCTTTCTCTCGTCTCTTCCAGACTGAAGGACTTCGTTTGTCCTCGGCTTTGGCGTCTCGACCTGCTGCTCAAAACAAAAACAAGCAAGAAAAAGAAGAAGAAAAAAAAACAGACTTTTTGTTTTGTTTTTGCCCCTTTGTCGGGCTCCGTGACCCGAAAAGACTGTGTGGGACCCATCAGCATCACAAGCCGCCTGCTTGCACACACTCTGAAAAAAGCAGGTCACCGTCTATGCATGCAGTGTATCGCTGAAGGCAGTACAGGTGTGTGTATGTGTGTGTGTGTGTGTGTATGTCGGATGTGTGTTGGTACGTCTCGTGTTCCCTGCACTTTGAGAGGCCATTTCTCCTGTGACCTAAATTTTGGCACAAGCACAGAAGCGAAGATAGTCAGACAATAACAAAGCTCAAATGGTACCAAGTTACCGTTTATTTACTTGAGGGTAGATTTAGTGTGCAAGTGTTTGTTTCTGAGAACCGTCAAACCTGCTGCACTCTGCAGGGATGGAATACCAAGGTACACTGAGTACATAAAACAAGAAAAAATAAATATATATAAGTATATATAGTAGTACACATTAGATGTTTTATTTATTTTTTGGATGATGAATGTTTGATAAGACCTACCCGATGCCTTAATGTGTATACTGTCCTTATGTTTTCTATGAAATAAGAGATAAATATTCTATTGGGGTATATTTGTTTAGACCTACATCTCTATATTATTATTATCTTGTGGAAAGCAAAATGCATAGTTTACCATTAAATATATTATTTCTGAAATGTACAGAACCAGTTTGGCTGCTTGAGAGCTGATTAAAGTATTTTCTTAACGGATAATTTCACCCATTTGATGTTTTTTGTCCAATCATATTGGACTAGTAAAAATATATTTATAAATGTTTATGCATGTCTTTTCGTGACTTAGCTGAAATCCTAAAAAATAATAATAATAATAATAACACCAGGCACTGTTCCTCAGTCACTTGAGCCTGAAAACCTCACACACTCCTACCTTCAAACCAAAGGCTTGTTGTTCGGGTCGACGCAGGCCTTCCTGCTGTGATATCACTTGACTGTACAACTGTAATGCTGAGACGACAACGGAGGGGGAGAGCCAACGCAATCTCAACATTACGAAAAATTGGAGGCACAGTTGAGGCGGCTTAACCTAAAAGTATTGAAGGAAAAAGTTAAACAGTAGCACCATCATGGAGGCTCGTGGCAAGAGAAAACTTTACTATTTAACGACTTTAAATGTGTAAAAAATGGTGATGCCTAGCTAATGCGTGCTGGTCATCTCCAGTAATGCATCACTTCGTACCCACATCAGGGATGTCCAGGAAATACTTTAACAACTGATGACTTAAATATAATTTATTGTAACTGCTAGTAATCTATAGTAAGGAAACTTGATTATATTATTTCTGTAAATTACATGTACAACTAGCAGGTCAGTGATTGTTTTTTGGTTTGATCGCCAGAACCACAATCAATGGAAACTGGGAGGAAATTGACATAAATCACTGAAGTATTTAATCATAGTACAAATGGAAGGAGGCGGTTTGACTTACCCAAAAGCCTTTGCTAATATTACCAACTTTTAGCTAGCTGCTGTCAAAAAATATAAAAAAATATGAAAATTAAACTGCTATTTTGCTGGTAAGAAATGAAAGAAAATGGCAACTTGCGTGCGAAATCGGGTACGAATTGGTGAATTACCTTGAGCCTTTGCTAACATTATCAACTGTTAGCTAACAAAACTCTTGACTGTAATGAAATTAGCTTAATATTTTCTTGCTTCTAAACTATCAAATAGTTTAAAAATATATCTAAAGTGAAAACTTTGAGCATATGGATGAATGCTAACATGTAGCATAAAGCAAACTGCCTCAGTATACTGCTGTACATCCATCACAGCTTTGCTAGCAATAGCTAACGTTAGCTGCTGTAAACTACTAGGTTGTACTAGTAAATGTGAAAACTGTCTTTAATTGAGTGCCGTATTACATTGCTCCATTTTCATCCAGTCACAGAAAAATTCATTATTTCTCCAGTTTTGAATTAAAATTAAACAAATAATGGCAGGAAGTCAAATTAGCAATCCTCCAGAAATGGTTGCTACGGTATTTGAAAACAGTTTTTATCGGCGTTTATTACGACTGCTGTCTTTTTGAACTCTTCTGTGCCGACACCAACTGGCTTCAAACCCCTTAGATGTACAGTAGATTGTAAAACTTTTACATGTCTGAATGTATCGCTGATTTTTGCGGGACCACCGCACATTTTAAATGGTTTTGAAAGTGTTAAATAACATTGGAGCTGTACCAAGCTAACTTATGGTATCTATTTATCTTTAGAGTTTGTACATATATGGTGTAAATAGAAAAGAGTTTACCTAAAATATTGTATTCTTAGATTTGACCTATAGGTTGCAATGCTATTCCTGTGTAAAGACTTTGGCTACAGATTTTTAAAACGGGAGGGTTTGTTTTGGGTCTGTACAGTGTATTGTATGCTTTTCTCCCTCACAGTCTGATTATATAAAACAAAAAAAAAAAAACGTGGTTTATTTTATTATAGAGATCTATTTGCCTTGTTGACACACTTTACCTAATGGCATATGCAATATTGACATGAATCAAAAATAGTTTACAACTATGGAACCAAATGTAACATTGCATTGATCCTTTTTTTCCCATTAAACTGGAGCTCTTTTGCTCCTTTTATATATATATTTTTTCTTTCTGCCAAGTGTTTTTCATTGCTGGGAATTTTGTTGTTGACATGTCTGGAAGCGTTTTTCCCATTTCTGTGTCTGAACGGATCGTTCTTTAGTTGGATTGACTCGGTCTGAATGTGTTGTCTTCCATTGTACATAATTCAATATGCTGTTTATTGTGATGCTCACAAGAGATAAATATGATTTATAAATTCTGGTAGTCAAGTATTGCTTTTGTCTGTATTAATTATGGATAGCAACCAACATAAATAAATAAATAAATTATTTAAAGAGTCACAACTTTCTTGTTTTTTTTTTTTTGTTTTTGTTTTTTTGACTTATCCATCTTGGAAATTTGACTCTCTAATTCTGTCGTTGGCACTGACTCAAATCACTTCCTGTACACACACAGGATATCCTGTTTCTGTCTCGTGAAGAACTTTATTTGACCGTGGAGGAACCAGGAAGCTATTCGTGAGCAAATGTCTTCCTGTCAAGCCACAGTTTTCCCAGTTTGGAAGTTCAGGAAGAGTTCAGCTTATGACGATATTTAAAATATGGGGTATTTTAGCCTACTTCATGTTGTCAAACAGGACCAACAGAGATTTAGCTTTAAAAAACCTGATTAAAAAATGTATTTTTAAATAGTTAAATGAAGTCTGTTTGAATTTTCCATTTATTATGTGTGTGTGTGTGACACAAAAAGTGACCTTTAAGTGTGTTCTGTACATTGTGTACAGAACATAAACACACACATGTGCATTCTGCAGGGGGCAGGCATACCTCCAGCTGTATTAATTAGCAGCTTGACACAGTTACAGAGGCGCTGCTCTGCTACTAGGCAGAAACGGCTTCGTATAAAAACCCAGCAACGTGCCGTCAGTAGGAACACGCTGTTCCTCACTCTCCTCTGCACAGATTACATACTGCAATGGAAAATGTAAGCAAAAAATGTAAAAAGACTCCTCCGTGCTTTTGTCACAGCAGTTTAAATGCAGCTTACGGGATGCTGAGTTTTCCAGTTAGGACTGGAGCAGACTGGGATCCGGACCAGTAAACGTCCTGCTTTGAACTGGGAGGGCAGGTGTTGCTTCCTAAATGAGATCACATTAGTGTGGTTAAATTAAAAACCCACTCCTAACTCAATAAGAGGCTGAACTGGGATTTGGTAATTTTATTACTAACTAACAGATCTACAGCGTTAAGGTCCAATCATGTGACTGGATGGTCCTTATTTACCTCATTTAGCCACTGCGCTGTGAACTAAAGCAGCGTAAAAGTAAAATACAAGCATGTGGGTGTGGGCTGCTTTGGCTCCACTGGGCTTCTTTCCCCATGCTGAGGTTCTTCAGGGGATTGGGAGTCACTGGCCCCATTATTTCTCCCTGAATCAGCCTAAGGAGGGTTTCAGCCAGGCTCAGCGAACTCCATGGCGCAGCGGCGTGCAGGGCGGAGCGGTGACCCACTTACAGCAGCCAGCCTTGGCTCCTCACGGAGGAGATGACCGAGGCACGCTGCACGGATTATCCCCCGTGAAAATATAACATAGTGACATAAATCGTAAAAATGTCGGGGTCACATCATGTTTATACAAACTGTTGCCTTTAAATCGGTGAACACACAGCCAAGATGTCAAATGTATGAAAGGAGATTAGGGCAACTGAAAATAAAAAAATATATACAACTTCAATCTCAAACTTTTGATGTTTCTTCTCAAAAATCAAATTGTTTTCCACAAATTCTAACTTTAATCTCAACAGTTGAACCTTTATGCTCATATTAATCTTCAAAATTCTGAAGAAAAAAAGTCAGAATTTTGAAATAAAATCAGAATTCTAAACAAAATCTGAAAAATGTCAGAATTCTGAAATTAATGTCACAATTCTGGAGAAAAAAAAATCACAATTCTGAAGAAAAGTGTAAATTCTCCAAAAAAAAAAAAAAAAAAAAAAAATCTGAATACTGGAGAAAATGTGAAATTTATGAAAAGTCAGAATCCTGAAAAAAAAAATGTAATTCCAAAGAAAAAGTTAAAATTACAAAAACCAGATCCCAATGCTAAAGGAAAAAAGTCTAAATTCTTAAATTAAAGTCAGAATTATTTTTTTTGTTGTTGTTCAGTGGTCCTAATACTCTTCTGTTATGACATTTTATTTGATTTTAGTAAAAAAAAAAAAAAAACAGAGATACAGTTCATAGATTATTGATGGTTTTTTTGTATCATAACAGAAAACTATCCATAATAATGCAATTCTTATGTTAATTTTTCAATGCAAAAAGATTTTTCTGCATTACCAAGTACATTCATTCCATGAACTTTGCTACTGAATGTGTACAACAGGATACAGTTCTTCCAAAAAAAAATTTCAAGTCAATTATTTG